AATTGGGATTGTTCTGGAATGAAAGGGAGCTGACCAAGAACACTGATCTTAAATCTTGGTTCTTTCACTTAATACGTTATGTAACCTTGGGCAAATCACTTAAGTTTTCTGAAACTACTTCTTCATCTGCAGAAAAGGGATACACTAATTGTACAACTTAACTGAGAGCTTTGTTATGAGGGTAAATTTTATCTTCCCCATAAAATGCTATGTAAGTATGAGTTATTATCCTTTCAGCAAGTCAATAAAATGCATTAAGTCAGTATGGTCAAACTGAAATAGAAATGGGGCCCATAAAGCATACATAAAAATCCCTGTAGTTGCATATTAACTTAGAAAACCACATGTTAACATTATGTATGTTCCATTGCATTTTTATTTATTTTGTTAAATATTTTCCAATTATAGTTTAATCTAGTTCAGGTTGTACTCTGGAGTATTGTGGGCCATATGTTTGACACCTCTGCACTAGAACACCTTTTTGGATTACTTTCACCTTCACCTTTACATAATGCAAATGATATATAATGCAACTAAAGTGCCTCTAAGTTCTTAAATCATATCCCCATAAAGCACAATCTCTATTACATCCCATAATAATGGAAATGAGAATAACTCAGTTCACAGAGGGACTAAAGCCTAAATTTGCTTTCATTCATATCTACAATGAAACTAATGATATTTGGATTGCCTACCTCACAGGTTTGTTTGGAAGAGAGATAGGTTCAAAAGATAATGGGATCATAGACCTAGAAAGGGATCTCATTAAAAACTTGTCCATATACCTCATCTTACAGATAAGGAAACTGAGGTCTGGTATGGTTGAATGTATCTCCAACTGCCTCTTCAATATCTCAAGCTGGATGCTGCATGGGCGTCTCAAAATTAATATGTATAAAACACAAGTCATTACCCTTCCCCCTCCTCAAGTTCCCATCTATCCCTTGTCCTTCAGAACTTCTCAAACAATTAATAAACATTTAGTAAATGCTTGATTTCACTGTCCATGGTACCACCCTCTTTCCAGTCACTACAGTCCAACAACCTTGGAGTCATCCAAATCTACTCACTCTTACCTTCTATTCCATTTATTGCCAAATCTAGTCATTTCTACTTTTACAACGTCTTTCATATAAGTCACTTTCTTTCTATTCATATAACTACAACCCTAATTCAGGGCCTCAATACCTCTTGCCTGTATTACTACAATTGCTTTCTAATAGCTCTCCCTACCTCAAGTCTCTCCTGACTTCAATCCATCCCTTACTGAGCTTCCAAGGGGATTTTCCCAAAATTTAGTTTTGATCTTGTCCCCTCTATCTCAATGAGTACTAGTGGTTCCATATTACTGTCACAAATGACATATAAATGCCTTTGTTGGGCATTTATGACCCTTTGTAATCTAGGTCCTTCCTACCTTTCCTGCCCTCCTATACATTCCTCTCCTTTATGCATTCTACCATCTAGCTACACTAATCTACTTTCATTTCTTTGAACACAATGCTCTAACTTCCACATAAGTAACTTTGAATGATTATCTCCCATATTGGGAATGCTTTCTCTCATAACCTCTGCCTCTTAGTTTTCCTGGTGTCCTTTAAGACACAGCTTAAATCTTATTCCCTGCAGTTAAGTCTTTCTTGTTTTATCCCTACCCGACTCAGATCCTAATGCCTTCCCTTTCTAGATTGCCTTCACCTGCTCTATATGTGGCTTGAAGATTCCTAGCTATTTACACATTGTACACATACATAAGCCATTAAATTGTGAGTTTTCAGAATGCCATTGTTTTTGCCTTTGTATCCCCAGTGATTAATATAGTACCTGGTAAATGCATGGCAGTGAGGTGGCATAATAGATAGATTGCTGGGTCTAGAGTCAGGAAGAGTTATCTTCTTGAGTTCAATTCTGGCCTCAGACACTATGTGAACCTGGGCAAGTCCCTTAACCCTGTTTTCTCAGTTTCTTCGTCTGTAAAATGAGCTGGAGAAGGAAATGGCAAACCACTCCAGTATCTTTGCCAAGAAAACCCCAATTGGGCTCATGAAGAGTCAGACATGACTGAAAAATGACTGAACAGCAACTGGTAAATGCATGCTTAATAAATGCCAATTGACTGTCTAATTTCCCTGAGGTTATATAGGCAAAAAGTGACAGAAAGAGAATTCTAACTCAGGTTGCCTAATTCCAGAGCCAGGACTCTTAGAAAATGAGTATTTAGTAAATAGAAGACCTGTGATTTTATCAGTTTGGGGGATAAAAGGGTTCCTGGTATAGCAACTTCCTTCATTAATGAAAATTTCAAACTCATTCTAGATCCAAACCCATCTCTGACCTAGATCTTATATTCTAGGGATTTACACAAGTTATATCGAAGTCAATTTATTTTTCAGGTTCACAGAGACAATAATGTCAAAGGTAAAATTTGAATTCATATTTTCCACTAGCATTATATCTAGTCTATCAGTTAACAAGAATTTATTAAGCACCTACTGTGTGCCAGGCACTATGTTAAAGAATGTGGAAGAAAGGCAAAAACACTTTCTGCTCTCAAGGAACTCACATTGTAATGAGGGAGACAGCATGCAACCAAGAATATACATATGATAAATATCTTTATGCACATAAGCATGTGTATGCATGTGTGTGTGTGTGTGTGTGTGTGTGTGTGTGTGTGTGTGTGTGCAGGTAATCTCAGAAGGAGTGTACTAGCTTTCCTTCAGACAGACATGGGAACAGGAAAAGCATATTGCAGAATTTCTGAGGTGTTAATATTATAAATAAAATGAGGTATTTGGGTTACATTAACTTGAAAGTACATTAAAAACCCAACTTTTCACAATCCGATGGGATTCTTTGCTCATTTGCTTCTTTGCTGGATAGAGGAATGGAAAGGAGGTGATTTTCAATTTAGGCAATTTGACTTCTTTTTGGAAGTAATTTTTTTTTTTTTTTTGCAGGGGAGGGAAGGAATTAAACTAATGATAAAAACTAATTTTTTTTTGTATATTGAATATACATTTCCCCTGTCAGTCAAAAAAAAAAAAACTCAAGTAAATTTATATCAGCAGTTTGCATATTCTAACAATATAGATCTCCCCTTCTTGTATACTCAGTACTAGTGATCTCTCTTTGAGATAAACCCCAGTTTATCCTATATATATTTTGTTTGTACATATTTATTTGTATGCTGTCATTCCACTAGAAATAGAGCTCTTTGAAAACAATAACTGCTTTTTCCTTTCTTTGCATGCCCAGTGTTTAGCACAATGCCTAGTACATAGTAGGCACTTAATAAATGTTTGTGGACCTGACTTGACTTGTATGGTTGCCCATGCAGTATGACTCATCTATATCTTTCTATTTATCTACCCAATGTGCTGGAGGAGCTCTTCAAATTCCTGATGTTTCAATGATTCCAGTAGAAGCCTTGTGTGTGTTCACCATCCTTGCTCAGGTGATCAGCTGTTTTTTTTTTTTCAGTCATGGATTCTCCCCATGAGAACTTTTGCTCCAAATCTCCCTTAAATATTTTGTTCTTTATTTGTTCAGCCTGTTCATATAATCATGAACTCAGGTACCTCTCTGCTGCTTTCTGGGTGATACTAATTTGTAATTTTTAAAAAATATTTTCATGTTCCATGACATAATACAATAAGACCATAAGCAAAACTTTAGACACAGTCAGGAAGACCCGGATTCCAAGCCTACCCAAGACACTTATTGGCCATGTGAACTTGAGTGAGTCACAACCTCTCTGAGTCTTAGTTTTCTTATCTATAAAATGAGAGGCTTGAACTAGATGTTTCCTGATGCCCCTTCTAGCTCTAGTGCCATGGTTCTTATGCAATTACTGATCTCACTTGTGATGTCATTATGTAAAGATAGATTAAATTAATCTGAGTCTGAATCTTGACTCATTTACTAACCATGGCCACTTGAGTCCCTTAATACCTCCAGATCTCATTTTCCTCCCCTATAAAATAGGGGCAAATGGGGAGAAAATGAAATTATACCTATAGTATCTACTTCATAGAGTTGTTGTAAGGTAGGTACTATCAGTATATGCATATATTGCAAACTTCAAATGTTACATGCATGTAAGCTGCTGATGCTACTCATTTTTTCAGCTCTTATCTCTTTTTCCTCAAAGAAATTATCAGATCTAATGATCTATATAAAAAGGGAATTCAAATTACCAATATTTCATTATTAAATGGCTGAGTTAGAGTAACTTGGAAAACAAAGATAAATTTTCTTAACTTGTTCCTTTTCTAAATGTTTCTAACACTTTCAGTATTTCCCTCTTTTCTTGTTATTACATAGCCTTTCCTATATTGTATATCATACACACCCCTAGTTACTGTCAGAGATTATTTCCTTGCTCATTATTCTAGTAATCCCATCTATTTCCATCCTTAGGTAATATTCTCTATTTCTTCTAAATTGTCCTTTAAATTATGTTACTTTTTTAAAATGGAAGATTGATGTGTCAGAGAGAAGTTAACACACTAAACATTTGAAAGCCATTGCTTTGTTTATATTAACACAGTTGTATAAACTCCAACTAATTTCATTGTGTACTCTTTTATGATTAAGACCACTCACTAAAGTCCCGGTGCAACTTTAGAAATTTCTTGCATTATGACTTTGGGAAACCTACTTCACAAAAGGAATCATCTCATTATTCAAGGCAGAACAGTTTTTAATTATTTCTTGTTATCTTTTTTCACATTTATAGAAAAAGGTGCTATCAATATTGCTACCATCATGATACTTTTAAATGGAAGGGAACACTTAAAAGTAATAAATCAATACTTCATTTCAGCACTCAACAGTATTCTTTTTAGTCTCTACAGTAGATCAGAAACTCACAGTGCTCTAAAAGACCCATCATACTTAATTTAGATAACTGCCATATCTGTTTAATTACACACATACTTCGCATCACTTTCCATTATGGAATAATAGTTTTTAGTTAGAAAAAAAATGCTACTAACCTTTATGGGAAAGCAGTTTATCAAAGGATTCGCCCCATTTCACTGCTTCTTCAGGGGAGACACTGCTCAAGATATGAAATACTTTTTGATGAAATGCACATTTAGTAACCTCATGGTGACTCACTTAACATATGCTATCTGCTAGAAAACTCCCTTTGTCTTGTTTTAGAAGGTGTCTGATTAGATTACTTTATAATAGAAGCCCTCTTTCCACTGCAGTGCTCAAAAACATTTGGTCTAATTTATTTTGACATTGACTGTAAAATAATGCAATCTTTTAAATTAAAAATTTCTCGATAAAATATTTTCAAAGGTTGTTTGAATCATTGGGGTCTTTAAAGAGCAATTAGCCAGGAGCAGGGTTGAACAACAAATAAATTGGGTGATCCACCTTTTGAAATGCTGACCCCTAAATAAGCAATATTTTTGCTATGCCAAATTAGGCAGCATTTTCTTTGAAGTTGGTTATCACAATATGCTGCCTCTTTGTGAGTTTGAGTTGTTTTTGTTTTTTTTTTTTTTAAGGGGAAAGGAAACTTTCATAGTAGACTCAGAAAGATGAAAAATTATTGCAAATATCTTTAAATTCTTATTTTTAATTTAATCTAACTTAAATATTTTCAATTTCTTCTTTTTAAAATAATTTAAAAGATGATGACAAATTAGACATACGTTATTTTTATCTAATTAACATCATAATAGTATAGTGTTTATAATTATATGAAATAGCATGCCTTTTACTGGTATTATTTTGATAACTGAAGAATAGTAATAAGGTCCATTTTGGCATCATGGTATTTTTCATAAAACTTTTAATAAAACTTAAAATTAGCAAGACACACATGTTTTTGACTACCTGACGCTTAAAAGTAAGGGCAAAATGTTCAAGCACTTGAGGACAGATGTCTTCCTTTTTAGTTATTATTCAGAATCATGAGACCTGTTATTTTTTTCAAAAGTTTAAAAAATCAGAAGGCATAATTCAAGATATGGAAAACAATACAAGGTTTCAATGTCAACTAACAAAAACATATATAGTGATATTAATTTAGTTCCAATAAAAAACCCTTTGTGTTCGGCCATTTTACTTTTTGGTTGCATTTAAAAAATATTAATAGCTTATTTAAATAATCCATATCTACCTTCTTACTCTTTCCCCCCAAAAAACAGTCCAATTGCTAAAAAAATACCCCAAAATCCTTAATTTTAAATTAAAAAAATAGACATTTAATATCAATGTAAGTTCAAAATCACTTTTGGAGTTGACTTAAAGACAAAAATACTGACCTTGCACCTTTGGCCAAGTTCTCTGATCTACCAGTGTTGACGTCTTCATGGAATTCAGGTTTCTGCAGAAGAAGGCTCAGTCTATTTCTCTTTTCTTTACCTCTATAATAGAATATAAGCTGCTTTAAAAGTGAATAAAAATAATCAAACCTCACTTTCTATCTACTAATACACTTAGGGCTCATTCCCTCCTCCGTTCATGATATTTTTTTTTCTATCCCACAAGTAGAAAAGTATTTCTAAGTTGAAAAGTTTGTAAGGCTAATTACCATGACCTTTTTCATTCTTGACAAAATTAAGGAAAATAAACAGCAAAACAACAAAGATACACTAGTAATAATAAAATTAGTGAAATCCAGTTTACCAAGGAGGATATCATCTTTTTACTTAATAAATATGAAGGAGGGAATAGGACCTCATCCCTCCTTTAGTGTTCATTCTGTAAATTTCATGGGATCATGTTTCATTAAAATTTTCTTTTGGAACCCTATATGTGTCATTTACTTTTTTCACATTTTCATAAATATTAGTATTCTCTTAACACAGGAATATTCTATGCTATTTTCTACCTCATCACAATTAATATAGTCACAGCTGTATATTTCAAATAAGAATATTTCATATAACTATGTTATAAATTCATATTGACCATTTATCTAAAATAGATACATTACCTGTTTTTTATGTCTTTGTTTAATGCTTCTTTCCCTGTTGCGTGAATCACCTTGCAGAAAGTTTTTTCCTTTGGGTCTGACATATTTAGTTGAGAAAAGAAAACCAATGGTTTCTCCATCTTCCTTCCACAAAGTTAAGAGACTTCTCAGTTGGATGCTGAAAACGTTTGCTTGCAGAATCTGAATCCTTCATTATTACACATGGAGATCACGAAACTGTTTACCCCACAATGTTCCAAAAAGAAGAAAAAGTAAGAAGCCGTGCTCAGCACTTGTCCTACAACAAACATGTAGCACTGAGGAATTGAAATCCAATTTTGCTCTGGGTTGTTTAAGGAAATGATATTATGCATTTACAAAATGGTTGTTGGCCACTAAGATAAAGAATACTGTTACCACAGTGCAACTTCTGCTTGGTGTTTTCACAATCAAAATGAGCCTTTGAGCCCAAACTGACACAGTCATTTCCGACAGGAACTGTTTTTTATATAGTATTGTAAATTTTTTCAAGTATGAATTTATAGCAGAATCCTGAATCAGCTGGTAAGAGATAAGCTTTGGATTTTTAATACTTTTTTTTCCTGTTTTTAAAAATACACATATACTGCACTTACAAAGTGCCAAACTTTAAGTCTTGGGATACTAAAATATCTTATATTGCAAGAAAAAAAGATGAAAATATTAAAAGTAGTAACATCACATTTTAGAATATTGCTAGAAGGAACCTCAGAGAATATTTTAACTAACTCCTCACTCTCCAGAAGAGGAAATTGAGAAGCAAAGTACTAACCAAGTTCATATTTATCATCAGTGCTTGTGCTCTTAGAATTAGAACATGGTACTATAAAGCTTATTTGGATAGGAATTTGGGGGTCAATTGACTTCTTTTCCCAAGAAGCAACTCTTAAGGTCTTAACAAAAGACTAGTAGTCAGTTGGTTGAAACTTATACAATAAAAGAAATGTGTCTTTGTCATGAATGTTTGTGGGAAGGCTAAATATTTTAAAAAATGTAGGAAGAACATGATCGTTTGTAAAATTTCCTAGCTTATATCAGTCTGATGAATATTGATCAAAATATGACTTCTTTATATTGAAAAAAATAGCAATAATTTTAAAGATAAAGACACACAATCTTTTCTGCCTCTAATATGAAAGTATTTTACAAATTTGTACATTTCTTGGCACCCCAATGTGTTTTTTTACATGAAGTCATATGGGCTACCAGATCAAAACTATGTAGATAAGAGAGAAGATGGTACATAGTGAAGACGTGTTAGGTGCCTGTCACTAGCCCACCAGCTGAAAGAGAGGACCAGAATGGGGGATCGTGTTATCCCTACTATGCAGCAATGAATAAATGGGCTTTGTAACCTCTGACACAAACACAAGAAAAAGGAATGCAAGATGAACAACTGCTAATCAAAGAGGGATTCAGAATGAGGTCTTTTCTCTGTGCCTCATGGGATTTTTTTGCTTAGTGAAGGCAACCTTTAGTCTTGCCAAAATTTTCACAACATGCTGTTCAGCATACTACCTCTTTTTCTGCAGATTGGGGGATAAAATGCATCTTTTGCATTTCATTCAAGACCAGAACTGATCATTGAAAGGTCATTGAAATATATTGCTCCCTTTTTAGGGTCAAAAAGGTCTTTCACAGTTGCTAACAGAAAGTGATTAGCTACGCAATGTAAATGACTTTTGAAGATTTTTTTTCCCAAACCTAGCCCTCCCCCAAACCAAAAATCTATGAGGTTAAAAGGTGTTTAAAGAAGTCATCATCATAACCTATATGCATTTCCTGTTCTTTGTTTAAAGAAAAAAAGGGTTCTTGCAAAATGTTGGGCCTGCAATAGAGGGAACACAAACATCATATCTTAAAAAAAGTATATCCATGGAACATTTATAAATCATATTTTCTAATTTCTTCAATTTATTAACAGATAATAAGTGAAGAGAGTTGACAAGATATTCGGTGGTAAAATCTATACTCAGCATTCTTAACCCAAAACTCTTCCATTCATCCCACCAAATATGATCTTTTTTTCCCCCCTTTTTTTTCTAAATTTCTTCTAAAGCTCCTACTTGGTACTCTGGGGAGTTTCCACTCTGGCAACTAGGGACAATATTTACTGTTCTGGTTCATAAATTGATGTTTAGAATAGCATAGATTTGGAATTGCAAGCCACATTAACAGTCATCTAGTTCAACTCTCTCATTTTATACACAGGGAAACTGAGGCAAGGTCACAGAGTATTTGTGAAAATCAGGATTAGAGCCCAGGTTCTCTGACTCTAAATCCATTCTTGGTAAATCAGGAAAATAGTAATCTAGGATAATTGTTGTTACATCTAATATGCACAATACAGGACAGGATTGCTATTTAATTAAGAAACTTTTAGCTACACCCACACACACACACACACACTTGCATAAGATTCAAATTTGTCAATTAAAAGTGCAATGTTCAGTATCTTATAACCACCATTTTGAGCTCATCTTAGTGAGAAGTGGGTGTATTTGTGTTTATGTATGGTAATTTCCTTTGTGACATCTAGTATTGAAGAAAATAGCTATTTGAATAGTAGTGTAGATTATCCTAGTGAAAAAAATATTATCTGTAGTGTGTATATATCATATGTATAACTTTAGTGTATATTGAATTATAGGATCATAGAATTCGATCTTAAATAACTAATTTAAAAAGTAACAATTTTTCTTTTGTGATGCAAAGTACTTATATACAAAGTCTCATTAGTCTAAAAAATTAATACATTTCCATAATAGTTGAAGTTTAAAAAAATTTTTTTTTGGTGCGATGGGCCTTTAAATGAAGCTCTTTTTTTGGGGGGGGGTGTTTGCCAAATCAAAGTAGAATTTGAACTTTTAAGGACAAAAGTGGCATGTAGCATTTTTATGATTATGTTAACATGTTATATAAGTTGCTTTAGAGGCAGCTGGTGGCTTAGTGGATAAAGTACTAGGCCTGGAGTCAAGAAGACCTGAGTTCAGATTCAGCCTGAGACACTTCCTTCCTTGCTGTAGGATCCTGGCTAAGTCATTTAACCTCTGATTGCCTGACAAAATAGATCCATTGTAGAAGGAAATGCCAAACAACTCCACTGTTTTTTACAAGAAAATATCAAATGGGGTCATAAAGGAACACAATCGAAATGACTAAACAACAACAAGCTCCCTGAGGGAAGGGAAGGTTTCATTTTTTTTTATTAATTTATTTTGATTTATCAACAATCACTTTCATACTCTTTTGAGTTTTAAATTTTTCTGCCCCTCCTTCCCCAAGACAGCATGCAATCTGATATAGGCTATACATATACATTCCTATTAAACATATTTTCACATTAGCCATGTTGTAAGGAAGAATTAGAACCAATAAGAGGAACCACCAGAAAGAGGAAAAAAAAACAAAACAGAAGAAAAAATAGCAAATAATATGCTTCGATCTGCATACAAACGCCATAGTTATTTCTTTGGATATGTATAGCATTTTCCATGATGAGAACTTTGGAGATGTCTTAGATCCTTGCATTGCTGAGAAGGGCTAAGTCGATCAATGTTAGTCATCACTGTTACTGTGTACAATGTTCGCCGGGTTCTGATTACTTTACTCAGCATCAGTCCATACAAGTCTTTTCTGGTTTTTCTGAAGTTTGCCTGCTCATCATTTCTTATAGCACAATAGTATTCCATTGCATTCATATACCACAACTTGTTCAGCCATTCCCCAACTGATGGCCATCCCCTCAATTTCCAATTCTTTGCCACCACAAAAAGAGCTGCTATAAATATTTTTGTACACGTGGTTCCATTTTCCATTTTTATAATCTCTTTGAGATACAGCCCTAGAAGTGCTGTTACTGGATGAAAAGGTATGCACATTTTTATAGCCCTTTGGGCATAGTTCCAAATTGCTCTCCAAAATGTTTGGATCATTTCACAACTCCACCAACAATGCATTAGTGTTCCAATTCTCCCTTATCTTCTCCAACATTTATCACTTTCCAGTATTGTCATGTTGGCCAATCTGACAGAATTGTTTTGATTTGTATTTTTCTAACCATTAGTAATTTAGAGCATTTTTTCATATGATTAGAGATGACTTTAATTTCTTCCTCTGAGAACTGCCTGTTCATATCCTTTGACTATTTATCAATTGGGAAATGACTTGTATTCTTATAAATTTGACTTAATTCTCTATATATTCTAGAAATGAGGCCCTTATCAGAGACACTGGTTGTAAAAATTCTTTCCCAGTTTTCTGCTTCCCTTCTAATCTTGTTTGCATTGGCTTTGTGCAAAACCTTTTCAATTTCATCTAATCAAAATTATGCATCTTGCATTTGGTAATGTTCTCTATCTACTCTTTGGTCATGAATTCTTCTGTTCTCCATAAATCTGACAAGTAAATTAATTCCTTGCTCTCCCAGCTAGCTTATAGTATCAGCCTTTATATCTAAATCATGAACCCATTTTGACTTTATTTTCACATATGTTGTGAGATTTTGGTCTATGCCTAGTTTCTGCCATGCTTTTTTTCAGTTTTCCCAGCAGCTTTTATCAAAGAGAGAATTTTTATCCCAGAAGCTAAGGTCTTTGGATTTATCAAATAGTAGATTTCTATAGTCATTGACTACTGTGTCTTGTATACCTAACTATTCCACTGATCCACCACTCTATTTCTTAGCCAGTACCAAGTAATTTTGATGATTGCGGCTTTATAATACAATTTAAGATCTGGAAGGGCCAGGCTACCTTCCCTAGCATTTCTTTTCATTAGTTCCCTTGATATTCTGGACCTTTTGTTATTCCAAATGGATCTTATTATTTTTTCTACCTCTATAAAATAATTTTTGGTAGTTTGATTGGTATGGCAGTGATTAAGTAAATTAACTTAGGTAGAATCATCATTTTTATTATATTAGCTTGGCCTACCCATGAGCAAATGATGTTTTTCCAATTATTTAGATCTGACTTTATCGATGTGAAAAGTGTTTTGTAATTGTATTCATATGTATAGTTCCTGGGTTTCTTTCAGTAGATAGACCTAAGTATTTTATAATGTCTACAGTAACTTTAAATGGGATTTCTCTTTCTATCTCTTGCTATTGGGCTTTGTTGGTAACATATAGAAATGCTGATGATTTATGTGGGTTTATTTTATACCCTGGAACTTTGCTAAAGTTGTTTATTATTTCAAGTAATTTTTATTTGATTCTCTAGGATTCTCTAAGTATATCATCATATCATCTACAAAGAGTGATAGCTTTGTTTCTTCTTTGCCTATTCTAATAGCTTCAATTTCTTTTTCTTCTCTTATTGCTAAAGCTATCATTTCTAGTACGAAATTGAACAACAGTGATGGTAATGGACATCCTTGTTTCCTCTCTCCCTACACCGATCTTATTGGAAAT